GGTCCAGTCTCCATCATGGCTTTGAGGTCAATGATGTTCACATCCATCAGCAGGAAGTTGATGCTGTAGCGAGCTCTCTCCTGGGTCAGGTACCGTCCGCCGAAGAGATATTTCTCCAGTGATTTGTTGCCATGATGGAAGAGGAACGCCCGCAGAGCCAGCTCGGCGCATTCCGCCGATTTCCAACCGCACTTCGGATGACCACCTTTATCGAAGCCGAACTTGAGTTTCTTGGGGTTAATGGCCGGGTTGTTATAGATGCCCATCTCCTGGTGGATGAAGCTGCTTCGCCAGTTAGCCCCACCGATGTTGCCGAAGTGGACGAAGCACTCGGTGGTGTTCTGCTGCTGAAGCAACTGCTCAAAGGCACCAGGATGGACGTACACGATGTCGTCGTCGAGTTTGAGGTACTTCCTTTTCGGATATTTCGCCATTTCGTTGAAAATCTCGTACGTGATCTCAGCAAAGATGCCTTTTGGGCGAGCTCTCGTGTCCTTGTTAGGGTTGCGATATCGGAACCGAAACACCTCCTGGCCTAGGTGCTTGTTGGCACTGTCGGCCAACCGGGTCAGTTTAGAGAGTGTGCGGTTGTTGTACTGGACCATTATGTAGTGCACCTGGTCCAGAATGCCGCCGTTTTTCCGCAGACTGCGATAGATGTAAGCGAAGTTGATTCGAAGGTAGGCCCACCGCCCGGTGAAGATGACGAGAATGTTTTGGGAGTCCGAGGGACGAACTTTGCTGGTGACTGGCTGAATCGGTGTCGGCGCCGATTCCTTGCGCTGGCGGGACCGCGGTGGCGGCCGTCCCGTCTGTGACGCCGGCGTCGTCACCGGCGCAAAGAAGTTGAAAATGTGAGCGAGAGTACAGAATGTGACGACCAAAATCATCCAGGACAGCATACAGTTTGGGCGGAGATTGGGCCTTGTTGGCAACATGTCGACTGGCGAATTTCTTCAGCACGCCGCGTGCCAAAGATCGACTATCGCAGAGAGAACGCTCGACGTTGCTAGGCGGTCGTAGCGTTCGTGCAAAAGCTACAAGCGTACAATACAGGATACCAACCACTAGCACCAGGTTGGAAGAGCCTGACTCCACGGATGTTACACAACCTGTGCAGAAAGCTGCGCTGGTGCTCGACCCATTTGTTTCACCACCGCCTAACGTTTACCAGTATTGAAAAATAAAATTGCATGAATAAACCTCAAAACACCGAGGGCGCAGCCGCATCTCGTTTTTCCTACAAACGTGGATTTGCCCACTGTTTCTCTCACGAATCACAGTCCCAAAAGGCATACCTTATTTGACCAGTTATCCATTAAATATGCCCGGCAATTGGCTGTGCATGATGTGTCAGCACCAAATGGAAGGCGGAGAGTCGACCCGTCGATAAGAAATTTGGCTTGTTGTGCCCGCTGTCACGCGGCGTAGTCGTATTGTCATAGAGGGCAGAGGATTGAGCCCATAACGGTGGCGGCTCCTCTGGAAGGCAGACTTGTTTCAAGTGAAGCAAAGCGAAATATTTCAAAGCAAACGTTTTCGGTCGATTCTAGCCTCGCCCCGATGACGTCTGTTATTCTACCACACTGCAAGCCTCGCCTTATAATCGGGCACCCAACCAGAGGAGCTTTGTCACGCTTTTTGTGACTGGAATTGGTCTCGACACACAAACAAGGCAACAGAGCGTATCGGGTCAAGGTGATCTTTTTTTTCAATCATGGTGGTTTTTTTTTTTTTTTGGTGACGTATGTCCACGATCCACTGTCTCCAACGGACAACTCGTCTGCATTCGGAACCCCGTTCTCGAGTTGGACGACCACGGGAAGGGGAACTCCGAATGCCGCGAAAGGTTTTTCGCAAACAGAATTGTCACTCCCCACTTCAAACTGCCGGGAACGCCCACAAAGATGACGCACTCATAGGCGGTGCACATACAACAAGTTCACGCTGTTTTTGAGTTTATAAAACAAAAAAAGTGCATCTAAACTTGCTTACACACTCTTTTTGCAACGTATCTAGAATGCCGAAGTCCAATGTAACACTGCAGTTACACGAAGAATTAGACTAAGAGGAAACCACAACTTTTCAAGCCCAGAGATAACATGGTGGACATTCCAGTTTGTCACCTTTAACCTTCACAAAGGAGATCCCTTCTTCGGATCTCCCTACTTTGCTATGGCCAACATTTGGCACCGGTTAAAAAGGGGGCAGAGACGAGGTTCGAATTGCCCATAACGCGAGCAGCAGTTGGAAAGACCATACGTTATGTTACAACTTGCAGTAAAAAAAAATCAAGCAGATCTGAATCTGTAGCGTTTTTTTAATGAAAAAAATGTCTGGCAAAAAAATTTGTCGTGCTTACACACTACTTCACAAACCTTTTCAGGTAGTATGGGCAGCCAACCAGAGAAAACACAAACAAACAAAAAACGCAGTTATAGACTGTTCGTTTGTTCCCAAGCACTGACACCCATTTTACATGGTTGGCACCGGCATGCAGCACGTTGACAAAGGAAAGGTGAACTCGGAGATGTGTATTCTGTCATCGTGTCGTAAAATGTCCCAGTCTGTATTCAAATATTTACCTGAGACTTGTTGAGATTTTGTACACGCAGTCAGCCGGATTTTTGGCCAAACCGATGGTTGGCAAAACTGCACCTGTGACGCAGAGAAGTGAAATATTTCTTGTCTATTGTGCACAATTGGCTGGCCCATGACGAGTCTCCGGACTCCGCAGGATATGAGTAGGCCCTAGCAACATTTTGTGAAGATTTCATGTTCATGTGCATATATGTTTAACTGATGTCCATAAGGTCTGCTCTGTCGATGTCTCAGTCGTGTTAAGTGGCCGTTAACACTGTGGTTGACTGTCTGTACAAAAGTAAAAGAATACTTCACAAAGTCTTTAAAAAGATGTCACAAAACTATCCGAACACCAGACAATAACAGGCCCGTAGGCTGGGAGGGGAAAGGTCGGGGGGTTCGAACGAACCCCTCCCCCGCTCGCTTCTGAGTTCCGCTAGTTTTTGTTTTTGTTTTGTTGTTGTTGCTGTTGCTGCTGTTTGTTTGTTTGTTTTCTTTCTTTTGTTTTGGTTTATTTTATATAATAAATACACATTTTTAACATGCCGCAATTTTTTGAAAACAAAAACAAGCCGCGATTTACACGTTGATTCTCACTACAGTAACTGTTAGGCACGGACGTGTATAATAAAATCTGAACCCGCAATGCCTTTAATCAGCTTATAGAGATCATTGAATCCACTCGCTGCCATTTTACCGAGCCGAATACAAAGCTTTCCTGGAAATGCCCGCCTTTGTTCTTCCTGACGTCAATAGAAGGGAGCCAACCCACGCATTTGTATTCGGCTCGGTAAAATGGCCGCTGGTTGGCTTCTTCTTCATACAAAGGCGTTGCAAGTCCAGGTTTTTATATACGTCTGTGCTATTAGGCCAGTAGTTAGTGGCTTTTTAACAAAATATTTTTTGCTGAAAATGTTTTTCCCCAAAAAAGGCTTGGTTGAATTTTCAGAAGGGCGATATTTTCGTAACAAGGGGCAGGGGTAGTCTAGCATTATTGGCATTAATAATGAGAATAATCTATACTTTGCAGGTGGCATTTGTACTTGCCTATTAAGAAAAGATCCTTAAAAGTGAATGGAATCATCACATTGTCAAATGTTAAACCCCGGCTTTTGCAGGCCCTATGCAACCCATTATGATGGACGATGGGTGACGCACGACGGGCGACGGAAAATGGCATGTTTGGAACTGGTAAATGGCAGAATTGGGACACAACAAAAAACAAAAGGCGACGGGCGACGGCAGGTATGGAATTCCATAGTATCAGTGCTTGCCCCTTGATTTGTAAGTCTGCTCTGTTTTTCTTTCTTAGGAAATTTTCTTGTGAGAAATGTAAGTACCACCGGGAATCACGCCCACGACACGAATTTGAATCAACATGGCTAAATTGTTTGCTGACTTGTAAAGGTAGAATTTTCTTGACCAGCCTCTCCTCAAGGGTTTCCGATTCATTTTGAATGAACGAAAAGAGTATACGCATGTAGTTGAATTTGAATCAACGTGTATCGAATGACCGCTCGGAAACACGAAATCGGACACTTGTTGATGTTGTATAATGCGACTACACAAAGGAACATTTATTTAGAAACTCAAAATTCAAGTGGCCTCACTCAAAACTGAACTGTTTCCGTGGGAGATTTTGAGACGCTTGGTGGCGGCAAACATACCCGTCTTCTGTAGTGTAGTTTTGAGCGTGTGCACATAGTTCTGAGCCAGCGCGGTACGACAGAAAGGGACTGGTGTGTCTGCTGCCACCAGCGTCTCAAAGTCTCCTATTAAAAATTGGCTGAGAATGTTTCTACTAGAAACGAATTTACATTCATTGTACGTTTGTTTCAAGCAGTACAATTTAAGTTGCGATGTCTGTAGTATATGGATGGCTCCTTCCAAATGTCTTACATAGTTGTTGATGCACAATGAATATTAAGATTTTGACTTGCTTTGTTTGAGCCTCCATCCCTGAGGAGCACCCAGGATTCGTCGGTAGGGGCCGAGACCGGAATTTACCCCCTCCCCAGAGCCCCCCCCCCAGGGTTCAGCCCCCGAGCCCCTTCCCTTGGGTGGACAATTACTTTCGTTTTGCGCGATCGCCCGATCTTTGCGCGATCAGTCGAACTTTCTGCACGATTTATGGATCGTTTCTATCATCAGCCGGTCGCATTTTTTTTCAAGTTCGCCGTTGTGAAAGACTGTTTTAAAAAGAAAGGAATTTAAGTTGGAGGCTTCTTGCAGGATCGACCGATCGTGGAGAGCGATCAACCCAATCAGTCGCAACATAACATACTTAGCCCTACGTCGACGATGCGTACTTCGAAACAAAAAAATGGTTGTTGCACCATGCTCAATGTACGCCCTCTCTTGACACAACATCTCAATCCGCATTAGGCAAAGCTGGTTATCGGGGGCGTGTTTTCGCGACTGCGAAAAGAGACGTTTTTCTGCTTGTGCGCCGTCATTGTTCCGACCAAACGACAACTGAAGGCTCAGGACCGCCAGTTCGAAATGGCGGAAAATAGCAGACAATTTTGCCGTCTTCAAAATAATTGACCAAAGCACACCCACAATGAAGTAGTTGCATGCAGCGAACCTAAATTGCGTAGGCCCACCTTCTCTAGGGCCGAATTCGGGCGGCTTG